GTGCGGAAACGATCGAGTTGACAGGCGGCAGAGAGTGCCGAGTGGCTCGTCGAGTGCATCGAAGAGTCTCTTAGTGTATCGCGGTTAGTGCATCGTCGAGAGCGTGCGTTGAGCTCCGAGAACGACTGAACCGAAGAGTCGGGATCTGTGCTCTGTGTATCGTCGAGTGCATCGCGAATTGTAGCGTGGAGAATGTTGAGAGTACGTGGAGTTCCGAGAACGACCGAGCAGAGTCGGGAGCTATATTCTGTGCTTTGCAGTGAAGCTGTCTCCACCGTTATTGCCTGACAGTGTAAAGGGTGTCGCTGAATGTGTCAGCGTTTTTTTACAACAGTTCGACGACTGTAAAAATGATTTTGGCTGTCCTGATTAATATTGGTAAATAAAGTGTGTTTCGATACTTTATCATCAAGTGTCGTCGTCGTTATTCACTCCAAATCTAAAAACCCCGTACGAACGGGAAGGAAGAAAATAACGTAACAACTGGTAACAGAAGAAAACGCAATAGCTGGTGTCAGATAAATAACGTAACAACTGGTGTCAGATAAATAACGTAACAACTGGTGTCAGATAAATAACGTAACAACTGATGTCAGATAAATAACGTAGCAACTGGTGTCAGGAAAAAAAAAAAAAAACATAACAATATGCTAGAGTTCCTGGCAGCCTCGCATTGCAGCTACGTACTACATCAACTATGCCAAAGTTATTCTGCCTTTAGCAATTTTCTAGCCGAGTTTAAATACGCTCAGAAAATTATCTTGAGCCAGCTTAAGTAGTCTATTCTATGTGTAGTCTCAGACTACCTTAACAATATTTCAATTTAACAGCTTCTCATATTAATTTAGATACCCGCAAGTAGGGGAGCTTCATCTGTCGCACAAGTGTTAGTGCCTTCTATTCATGTAAGAGTTAAATAAAAAGGTTAGTTTAACCTTCTTATGACTTAATAATTTGTTTCGGTCTTAAGCGATAACCTGTTTCCAATCTAGAAGAGTTTCCAGGATATTGATACAAGCTTCCAGATATAGCAGAATCCTACAACTTTAATACTTTTATGTTAGTCTAAACCTCACAAGCAGAGAAGTTTGTACATACGACCTGTGCATTTTGTACGTTTTACGAAAACTGTTTGTTTAAACCTTGTCCTGATCATAGTTGCTTGATAAAGACGCAATGATAAATGAACTGAAGCGACAGACCTACATGGAACGAAATTTAGTCTTCTAAGTATTTGTTTTTTTTTTTTTCTACAAACTGTTACTTAAAAAGCAAAACATATCACTCATCACAAACCTATAACTTTGAAACGATAAACGTGAATTTTAGAGTTATCAGTTATCACTTGTAAAATAAATTCCCATTTTAAACTGAGTATGAGATAAAGAGAAATCTTAATTAAGTTAATTATTAATTGTTAATTTAAATAAATTATCAATTCTTTTAAAACACACTTTTGTTCCCCGAATATATGCAAGCTTAAAATTTTCAAACCTTATTTTATTGTGGTCAGATTATTAATGCCAATGTAATTTATCAGTTACGTTTAACTTTTAAGTTAAAAGAAAATATAAAGGAGAAACATTAAGTCGATTAATGAAGAGAAAGTTTTTCCTCAAGGTGCGATTATTCAGATTATTTAATCATCCTTCTTGAATAATATTTTCAATATTTCCACGCTAACGTAAATCAGGCTATCTTATACGAAAACCGTTAGATTTCTTCTGAAAACAGACAAAAAAATGATATATTAAGAGATCAGAACAATAAATTAGGGCAAAGAAGTTTGTGACTTCGTATTCATCACTATGGCAGTTCTGCATAATTAGTGATTTTATGGGTAGAATATAAATAAAAATCAAGAGATTCCTGTATTTTATTTTTAGGATTTTTTTATGAACTTTTGTGATTTGAGGAGTTATAACGCATCCCGAATCAATCGATTCCTCATCAAGCTAAGATTATTAATTAATAGCACAGAAGTTAATTAATTATGCTGAAAAACACTGGTATTATCTTTTTTATGATTTTATTCATAAAGTAGCGATTTTTTTCATAACATTTCTGAGAACGATTCTTTTTTATTGCTTTGAATACTTGATGCGGAAGATTTTTCTCCTCCGACTTTAGCCCTGCTGTTGAGAGAAAAGAGAGAAATTTCTCCAGGCAGGTAATGTCCTCGGACATAAAAGTTTAAAGCATTTTGAAGAAAAAAGGTCTTTTCATTCTGAAAACTATATTAAGTAACACACAGAAATATTTCAAGAATGACAAAAGAATTTCTATCTGAAAAAGAAATTAAAGTAGCAACGCATAATATCCATATGGTTTGGTGCTGCATATTTACTTTAAATAGCTTAATTTAACATCACTTTTGAATAACAATAAAATTAATTCTTTAAGCATTCAAAACAAAGTTTCAATAATTTTCATAACATGATCATGTTGTTTTTATGTTAACAATGTGTTCTGTCAATCCCTTTTCGGTGTTATAATTAAGATACATATTTTGCATTTTTCATAGTTTTAAATTATTAACCACTTCACATGCATAAGTTAACAAGTAATTTATGATATACGTTAAAATTTGTTGTGTTAGGTATTTGTAATAAACGTTAAAATCATTATTTGTTGCAGAATTATAGAAATATTTTGCAAATTTTAGACTACTTCAAAACGTATAAAACGCGATATGAATTTAGTAATAATAAAAAAAGAAAGCGTAAAATGTTGTGAATTAGAATTAAATTCAAAATAATGATAAGTTATGGATAAATGCTTTAATGATAGTTACCTGTAAAAACGTACTGCACAAGTTTTTAACATTACAAGATAATAAAGAAAATAATTTCAAATTATTTAAAATTTAAAAATTAAAAGTATTCAGTTTGACATTTTTTAAAATTTTGACTACAATTTCTTATTGTTTTTTGAGCTGAAATTAAACTGAATATAAATTTAAAAAGGAAATTAAAAATTCATGAATGTACCCTCATAATTTAACATAATCCTCAAAAGTATTCTTGTGTTATTTTAAAGAGAAGTACATTGTTTTGTTATACATTTCTTAAAATGTATTTTTCATTCTTGCAAATTCTAATTTTCAATTTGTGCATTAAAATGATTCACATTTATATGCCTGAAATTGTGTCTTAGAGAAATGCTGTTAGATTAATTTATATTTAGTTAAAAATGAACAGATGAAAAACTTAACATAGAAGTATCTGTAATCTCTGTCAAACACAGTAATACAGTATTAATAAATAGATTGCCCACTGGGACTTTATTTTCGTATAACACTGACAACGTAAAGAATAACACATTTATATATTATTCAAAAATAAAGCAAAAATTAAAACTAATTTAACGTAATAAAAGATTTATCGTCCTTTGAGTATTGATTGTTTAATATAATAACCTTTTTCTCCGAACTGGGACTTACATGAAGCACAAAACCAATTTCTTAAATAACGTGTTTTAAACTTAAATTAACAGCGGATCTAAAATAAGGAAAGTGCACCTCAGAGTCAATTATTTCATTAACAGAAGACTTTCTGTTTCTCAGTTTCCTGCTATTATATCGTTATAATTTTACTGATTCTTTTGAAAGTTCTAACCATAGATGTCATGATATGGTTAAAGAATCAAAGACCATTATTTATATTAGCAATGAAACAGTATGTCTGTTAGCACATGACTGTATTACTTACTCGCGACATCATTGGGATTACTTATGACCATTACAAGAACAAAATTCTGGAATACTCCGTATTATTTTATTAAGGAAATGTAGAACGTACTGTAGAGTAATGCTTGTAATCAAAGGTACTTAGAAAGTAAATGTGATCTAACCTTAAAAAAATATTGCCAATACTTATTTCAATATAAAGATTTCAAACTTTTTGAAAACTGGCAAAAGAATGAAAACTTTTACTTTTACTCTGTTGTTAAATGTTCTGAGTAACGCATTAATTGGAAAATTCTAAACCGCCTTTTGTAACTACTCAGTTGTATTCTGTTTAGGTGAGTATGAACAAAGATGTTACAAATCCTTTAAATTTACATTTTTCCAATTCTTGGTTTCGGTTTATTAGATTACGGCAAAGCACTCGAGGGCTATCTGCCTTAAGGGAGGGATGCCTTCGTGGAGGACCTTTTAAGGAAAACTGGCTCGTATACACGTTATTATACATGGGGAAAACCACGAAAACGCCCATGAAGCCAGCGCACTCGAGTCTTCTTTAAACTCTCTGTAGATTTGCAATACATTTTATATATATGACATACTTTTTTCATCAAATTAATCTGTCGTCTATATAGCCGTCTAACATTTCCCAAGCTGTCTAAGTTTTAGTTTTCTTTTCTTTTCTTTTCTTTTCTATATATAACCTGTTATGATATCTTGAAATCTTGAAAAACAGTCATTCGCTATTTAGCTAATGCTGTTCCCAAGATTAAAATTTAATTTTGGAAAAGACATAGAAGAAAACTGTATTTTAATTTCCTAAAATTAATTCATATTTATTAAACAACTGAAACTTTTATTTTCCTAAAATTAATTCACATTTATGAAATAACTGAAACAAATTTAATTTATTAAAATATTTTACATATCGTAGTCTGGCTTTTTCGAAAGACAACTGTGGCAAAGTCGGCTCATCTTCATGATTTAATGAAATTTCAAATATATTGTAAAAGGCCATCTTGGGTAAAAATAATATTCTCTGGGATGATCTGTTAAAGGAATAAATATGGTATAAAATATCTTGTAGTTTTCATACACAAATATACGAAAATTTCCTCTTTTAAATGTCACAATTATTGATTCAGAAACTCCCCCGCATGGACTGTAACCATAGCAACAAGACATCCCAAAAGAACACGCAGATGAAACTTTTAATACTACTTTTCCATCCCATTGTTTTACAGATATCATTATTTACAATAGCATATAAGAAAAAGAGGCGACGGACAATGACTATTGTGAAATCTTAACTTACCCGAAATGGGACAGGTAGTGATTTACGAGAGAGCCGTAAACCATTTCTGCGGGTCTCAAAATGGACGTGGTCGGTTGTTGGGGATGATCTGCATTGAGAAGAGCGTGTGCTTGGCCGTACCGCTAGCACATCCCACGCCGCACCGGCGTTACTACTACCACCGCTTCGATTCATTGCGATCCGCGCCATCTGCTGGAAAAGTTGGTGGTTACGTTGCGTGGGATATTCCCCCCTCCTCTGTTGTTCTTCAGTGGTGGCGACATCTTGAAATATCCATGAATGAGTGAATGATGATCTTAATATAGAAAAGTAAATCCGCGACATATAATAGTGGTTGTTTTCATGCTTATATGATTTCAAAGAAGCTTCGCCTTAGAACTACGGATTTTTTCTTTAATAATTCTTCAAATTTTAAAATTGATAAGTCATAAAAAAAGGAATTTAATTGTGTTTTTAAAGTGAAATATAAAATGCGTTTAATAAAATAATATATTATATTATTCTTAACATAAACATAATTCATAAACATCGATTCAGAGTTAAATAATAATAATTTATTAAATAAGATTCTATCATTCGCATTCGCAATGATACATTTTAATATTATAAACTATATATAAGTAAGTTATTTATCCTAGGCATATCTATATATTTATGGTTTTCTACACTGATGCAAACTTATTCTACCAATTCCTTAAAATTACCGACAAAAAAAATGTGCTTTTACAGATATTATTTTCTATATAATTCTAATCATCGGACTTTGAAAAGTGAATATTTCGTAGAAATGTTTTTCAAGTAAAGTATAAAATGTATAGAAAAGAAGAAATATCAAAATTTTTTTGAAGATTTTAAGCTTTCTTTCATAAATTATTCACGGCCCACCAGCGGCCGAGCGGTAAAGTCGCTGAACATTGGTAGTTCGGTCCGAGGTTCGAATCCCGCGAACATGGGTGTTTTCGTGGTTTTCCCCATGTGTAACGTGTATACGAGCCAGTTTCCCTTAGAAAGTCCTTCACAAAGGCTTCCCTCCCCTTAGGCAGATAGCCCTAGTGTGCTTTGCCATAATTAAAATACACCACACCACCACACACCATAAATTATTCACGTTTATCAAAATATATTTATAATAGGGTCAAAATTATTTCCTTTCTGGAGACGCAGGACAGATATTGATAAAAGGACAAACCGATTTTTACAATTTAAATGCATGCATTTATGTTTCATTAGAATTAATTTGATTATTTGATTATAAATCTCCAAGATCAAATTAAACATATTTCTTCAAGAAGTTTCCGTCAAAATATGCTTTTAAGATAAACAGGAAGTTGAAATTCAACAATTAAAATTTAGCAGATCCTTCGATTCCCACTACTTGGATTTGGAGTCACTGAGAGTTTTTTTAAATTTCGGACTTGATATTCTATTTAAGTTATTTAAATAGACCCTGAGCTGACAAGTCTCTCTGATGTGTTTTGAACGTCAGTTTTGCCAGCATTTTAGTTTTTATACCGAGTTTGATAAATATTGAAATTTTCCAAAATATAAACATTAAAGAAGGAGGTTTCCTATTAAAGAAAGAGTGACTGCTCTACCCTAAATTTTAACTTTATTTAATTAAGAGTTAGTGTTTGCTTAATATTAAAATTTCATTTTAAATAAAACATGTAAATTTTATATCAAGTAAAAATATGATAAAAGCGTCTCGGAATTTCAAACCGGAGCAGGAGTTTAACAGTTAGTTAACAATACCTTAATTACGTACGGTACTATAGAAGTGCTGGCTTAGCTACTACTTGTACCTGTAACTACAAGTGCAAAATTAATTCCCTTCAAGTAAGCATACTACTCTGAAACCAGCAGATATATTCTGAGACGTATTCTGAGGTTGTCAAAGTTCTCTCTCTTTAGATTCGGTATTTCAACTCATTTAAACTGCATTTTCTGGTTTAGTAGACATGCGGGTACCGGTGGCAAGTAGCGCTTCTGACTCCATGACTTGTGAGGTTGCATAATACTTCCTGCATTTCTGAACTCAAAAACGTATTTATTACTATTACGAGAAGCTCTTTGCATATATATATGTAATAATAAAATTCCATAGTCAAGAATGCAATTAAAATTCTAACTGCATGTTCTTTTCATTTTTTAATGGCGACGTTCTCTTATTTGAAAGTACGTGGAATTAAATCCACAGCCCCGTAGTCAAGTTGTTTTTCCGGCCTTTTTCTACGCGTACAGTTATAGAATATTCTGGAAATATTTAAAGCGAACTGGATTGGCTGACGTCATTTCTTGGAAGCTCCGCCTTTCCAGAGGCTATAAAAGGACTCGCAAAAGAATATCGGGGGCTTTTCCTTAAAGGTCACGATGCAGTAAACTTCATACAAAAAGTTATTAGTAATTCTTTTTATTTACTCCAGATCTGATTTTGTAACTGCTATTTCTACTGAATAATAATAAATGGATCATGTTTTTTTAAACTTATCGTCTGATAATTTAAGCTACGACTAAAGCTGGTACATCACACATATATATATAATTCATGGATAGTATAGAATAATTAATGTAGTGAAGTATAGTTCTCGTGACGTGAGGAACCTGCTAACGAGGGTATCTCTAGTCGAGAGGGCAAGAGCAGTCTGGCGTGTTGTTCCGATGGAAACTAACTGCAGTCTGAATTAGCTACGCCTCCTTAACTTTTCAATAGTATTTCACATCCTCTGATTTGTTATATTTGGAACAAATTATTGCTTCTGCGATGGCGGACTGTGTCCCCTGGCACATCGTAAAAGCTTTTAAACAGTGATTTGCGGTGACCGAACACACGATTTTCTCATCTCTGTGTGACAAAACAGTAGAAAATCTTTAATAGGAGAAATAAAGTGATAATTAAACCAAACTATACAGCTAGGCCTACACTGGGATTCGAGTCCAACATCTCTTTACAGAAATCAGGTCAACTACCATAGCGTCTTGTATCTTATAGCTAACTTTCAATAATTTCTATTTGATGGTTCCGGATGTGAGCATACCTTCTCTTACGTGGAAAAATATCGACCTAATGCGTCGATCTTTTCACAGTTTTAAAAGAAGAAGATAAGTTAATCACTGGGATATTTAACGAATTAACTATCACCAATAAAAGAAATGAGTATCCTTAATGTAAATAATGCGTTCTATAAAAATTCTCTTAGTTAAATCTTGAAAGAGAATTTTGTACTTTACTCTTTCACTAAGAAAAAGTCTAATATAATTTCTTTATTGTCTAAGATATTAATATCTTGAATTTGCCTCCATAAGAGTAGAAAATCTTCAGCTAAAATAATATAATCTTCAAACCGAAATCTAGATCGTTCTCATGAAATTTGAGGCTCTAAGAGCATTAAAATAACTTTTCCCCCTCTGCAAACAAAAGCAGCTTTAAAGTAGTCGTGCCAGCGTTATGTGAGGAAGAATATTTCGCGTTTATTAAAAATATCTAGTGCTTTTATTGCGTTTTCAGATAATTGATTAAATTCCTCGCTTAAAATTAATTAAAAAAGTCCATTTTTTATCAAATGCCAGAGCCAATATGTTAGCCTGAGCTTTTGTCATAAATTGAAAGTAAAGAATAGAGGTTTGATATTGTAAGTTCTTGTAAAATTAATTTAGAAAACTGTCACGATGAGCATTCTATGTAACTAAAGCATAGTACATTAATGCGTTTGAAAACGATACAGTTGGATGAGATCTTGGGCGTTTGTCAGTTAAACTGTTGATTTTGAAATTATATAATTAATTTTTTAAGAGTGATACATAAATAATTATATAAATATAGTAATATGTAAATAAAATAAAACAATATTTCAGTAAAAGTTTTGCATTTCAAAATAACGAAAAGTTTTCATTCCTCAACTAAACATGGCATAATAATTCGCCATTGCTAGGTTTTAATTCGGCACGATCAAATTAACTAAAAATTAAAATAGGGGAAATAGCAGCTTTAGTTTATTGTTTGATTTCAGCAGCATTGCTTTTTAACCAAAGGTTTTTCTATTTGGTTTCCCCCTATGTCAAATCATGTCACACTGTTAAAAAAAAGCAAAAAAAGCTTAGCTTCTTTTTTATTCTTATGTATATCGCAACCTCAAAATATTTTCTATATAATTTTTGTTTTCTCACGAATTTCAAAATGCGCCGAACTGTAGTAACCATGCCCACAACAAATCTTCAGGTTTAATGAACAACATCGCATTCTTACATGAATTTTTTTTGTTATAGTCCAAGTTCTGATTTCTTTTTATAGACAAAGTGTGATATTTTTTGTGTTAAACTCAATTTTAAAATATATGCTGGTGAGAATTTTCTATACTTGCGTATTATCGCAACCATCTTAGTAGCAGTCGCCAGATTTTCAAAATGTGACAAACTCTGACAGCCATGCGCATAACCGTTCCTTAAGCAACCGTGGTCATAAACATTCTTCAGTCAAGCCAACGTGGCGATTTTCGTGTGCGTTCTTTTTGCTTTATTCCCAGTTCCAACGGTTTTTATACAAAAATGAGGATATTTTTTTGCTTTAAATCAATTTTAAAATATGCACTTGAGAAATATATCAGCAATGTAAGAACCTGCGGTAACATTTCTGTAGTTGTACAGTATTTTGCCGCAGAATCGCTAAAAGGAACCTTGATGACTTGCAATTGGTATACAGCTGGGGGGAGGCGAGATGACGAGTTTGTGCAGTTCTACGATGATTTTAAAGAGAAAATCGATGCTGCAAACATAGTGAGAAGAACGGTATAAAAAGAATACATAAGGATTTCGCAAAATATATGTTTCATTTTTTAATGTATCATGTGAATCTTAACTAGTAATTAAAATATGTATTTTAAATTACTGAAATATGTTTTGTTTGAAACATAGCATTTTAATTAAAAACTGCTAAAGCAAACAATTGCTAGCAATTTAATATATTTTGTAAGGCGACGGCCATGAAGGAAATAAAACCGCTTATAAATAGTTTATTGGTTGATTTTCTGGATAAATACGGAATTAAGTGATAAAATATGTGTCTCATAATATGTATGAGATTTTGTCAAAACCTTTTTTTTTTCCTCGAAATAAGATCAG